GGTAATTATGCTAATCTCCTGTCTCGTGCACGAGCACCTGATACACATTAATCAGTTTATGTAGCTCATTTACACACTTTTCATGAAGATAGAAGAGTTTGTTGAATCTGACGTGACATGTTCGTACGAACCCTTTGTACGAACAAAAGTAAGAGAAATTTAGGATAAGAATACAAACATGTTCTTGCATGAGGCCCAATAATGCGTGACAGCTTTCACCCTCAGCTGTTAACATTAACAATGATCAATAACATTTATAGACCTCAGTTAGTGCTTTTAAATTTAGCAAGTGCTAATCTTTAACAAATTTTAAAATGAGCAAAAGCCCTAAAGCACTAATCAGGAAATTAGTTCCCTTACTAGTGCTGAACTGTGCCCACCACTGCAAAACTCATACCGGAGCTGCTGAAGTTTCTTTCACTTCCTCTCATTTCCCAACTAATTCTTCCAGATTCTTCAAGTCGAGCAGAAACAGCTTCCAATAAAATCCCTCTAGCTTTACAATTGAGTTTAGGTCTAGACTATCTTTCCTCTCAGAGGATCGATGAGGCGTCACCTTTCGTTGATCTGAAGCTACAGGCTCAGTGTGTCAGCATGGCTGGAGAAAATAAGCAAAACTACTGCTCTAATTTGGAATAAAAACTTAAAAGCAACCAATAATAAAACATTTTTCAATGGAGTCAAATAAAGGGTACATAGTCAGCCCTTCAATAGCAAACACAACAGTGCCCTCTAGTGGACACATCGAGTAGCGCTGAAATGTTTTTGAAGAAATGACAAACTCTGTTTTAGGTCAACTTCTCTATTTAATATATAAAATACAGTAAAACATACGCAAAAACGGGAGGAGGGTAAGCAGGGTCCAATGGATACTTTGGTACAATAACAAACACTTTTTTTTTGTAAAAGCAGTATAGAATTTGTAATAACATATCAGTGCATACTTTATTTATGAAAATATACACAAATTGTATATCATTCTCCAAAAAAACAACAAAATTATCTTTACAACAAAAAAGCTGACTAGCCAAACACAACATATTAGCTATAATTTACTTAAAACTTTTAATTCAATTATTTTGTACTTAAACGTCACCCTGCGTGATGTGGATTTGTGTCAATATTACATTGTATTTCCTATCACATAATTCGCTTTCTCTCGTTTAAAAAGAAACGGTCATGCATTGACATCATTGTGTCTAGTCAGAAATAAGTTAGACGTCTTCGCTGCTCCTCCTGATCCCCTCCCCTCCCCTCCCCTCCATGTTACCATGTGTGGGCTTGAACTTTTGACTGAAAAGTTGCAGCACTGAAGCGGTTCGCCGCCTCCATCCACACCGATCGGAACATCACTGAGCGTGTGTCGTGTCAGGTCAAAAAACAAAACAAAACAAAAACAAATAAATTTTAATTAAAAAAATAATAAAATAAAAATCGTGCAACATTAGTAACAACCTTTTTTTTTCAAACAAACCCAGAGAAGAGAAAGCAAAAAATATATATTTATAAGATATTTTCATATGATAAAATAAAATCAACTTCCAAATAAAACAAACCATACACAAAGAAATGCAGAGTTGTGTCTCATCATGACATACCAGCAGTGAAGGCTGTGGTAATGGTGATCAAAGTGATGAGAGCAATAATATAAAGTCTCAAAAAACTAGTAAAACAGACTGTCACCAGCACAAATTAACACCAGAAAGTCAGCGAGACTTCTAAACATCATTTTACAGGAGTTTTTTAAAAAATCTCTTCATCGGGGGGGGCAAAGGGTAAATCCTTGGAACCGTATTTTTTTTAATTTTTTAGTTTTTTTTAAAGCAGGATTGTCGTTTTGTTTTGTGATTCCAGCGATCCTTACTTCTGTGGACAGTTCTCATCCGTCCTCTGAAAATAATAAATAAAAATATCAAAAATAAACTCCTCGGGGGTCTAATTATCGTTTCGTTTTATCTTTGTTCAACGCTCAGGTCACAACAGTCAACTCTGTGGACTGATGTCCACTCTGAGACTCGCTGCGGAGAGGATGAGTCTGAGTGAGTGACACGCTGAGATAAAGAAAATGAGAAATCACTAAGCAGTGTGCGATGAAGCTGCAGGGGGGTGGGGGGCTCATGTCACCCTGTGGAAAAATGACCCCGGACTAATTTAACTCCGTCTCTGCGCTGAGACCCGCTATCTGGACGGAACAAACGCGAGGGGGAGCGTGCGACGTCGTGCGTGTGTGTTTGCGCGGTTTTCAGATTAAGCCTCAGAGAGGGATATAAAAAAGCAAAGTGAGTGATGGACGGGCGGGGGTGGGGTGGGGGGGTGAGGAGGAGGTGACAAGGGCCTTGCCCGTGAGAAGGATGCAGTGGTCGGATGTGGCAAAGCCCAAAGTCGACAAGTCTGCGTGGGATTTGGGAGGTAGTCATTAAAAAAGAACCAAGAACCGCTCTGAAACCTCCGGCTTAACATCCGACGACACCCAAACGCTGCCTCCAGTGCTTCTCAGAAACAAACGGACGCAGGCTGGGAGTGCTTCTCAGGAAAATAAATAAATACACAAAGCTCCACTTTTGACCACCACAGTTTGAAAAAAATCTACACACTAAGCCCTAAACCACCACTTTGACACTTTTCTAGAGTAAAAAAAAAAGAAGACATCCTTCACATCATTCTTTCATCGTCTTATTTAAAACTCTCCAAAATATAAAACTACAGCCAACCAGTGACAGGTGAAGGAGAGGTCCTTTAAATATAGATACATGGCTTCTTATTTTTATAGGAGGAATCAAGGTCAACATCAACATAAAGGCGGGGATGGGAAACTTCCTTGGCTTGCTTAATCCTTTACTGAATGTGTGATCTGAAGTGTGATTGACATGTTTACAAGATAAGTGGGGTTTAAAATAAAATAATATATATTCAGCGCTGCCTTTGACACAAAAATACCTGATGAGTAATCATCATCAGCTGATGTAAAACCATGAAACTCATCGCTGAGCTTTAGTTTGGATTTCTTCTGAACAGAAGCAGCTGATATTAAATGTATAAAAATCAAATGCTTTCAGAAACAAAATTATATTTGAAGTTTGCAATCTAATTATCCACAATAAATTAAAATATTTTGCTATTTAAAAAGCAGAAAGAGAAATGTAGATTAGATTTTCCATTTTTTAAATATGTAATTATTTTAAACATTACTCTTAAATAAAGTGTAGAACACAGATGTGATGACAGGCAGTTTACAACAGTAGGCAGTAAAGATCATAGTGCTTAATGCACAGTAATAAATTAAAAATAATTCAATAGGGCGTAAAAAGTTTTTATTTCTGCTTAATAATATATTATGAAGTACTTCTACCAAGGTAAGTCAGCCATACCTTAGTGTGTGTGTGTCTATAGTTTAAGTGTGTGAGTTGGGAGTTAGGGTAAAGTGACAGAGTCCTAATCATTGCTCACTCTAAAACAGTCTGAGCCTCCTCAAGTTCCCTTTCTGCCTCTACAGCACCCTCTCTTGGCTTATCCACATATTACACTTTATTTACACGCATAAATAATATCTTTAAAAAGACAGACCGATCCACTGAGAATCAATATTTGCTTATTTTTCTGCTTTGTTAAGGGATATCCTGCCGAACATACAGTATATTTATATACAATCCCTGTCGTTTGTTTTAGTCTCTGGCTCCAGACGCAAAGTTGCCTCAGCAACGGTCTGAAGCCGTTTAAATATATACTCGTATATGACCTATTGTTCCAACCTTCAAAACACCTATTTCCCCCTGTCACACAAAAGCCACAAAGGTTACAGATTGCTTATATACATGGTACAACCCCCTCCCCACCCCACCCCACCACCCACCCTTTGAACATCAGCTATCGTAAAAATAGTTTCAGCTGTGTGCATTGCAGTTGTGATCAATAAAATTGAAAGCAAACATTTGTCCAAATCACTTAAAAAAACAACAAATTGAGGTAACAAACCTGTATACACACACACACACACACACACGCACACACATCAAACACACAAGCCTTTCTCAGCATCTGTAGTCGACACAAGGTGGGCGAATGAAGAGTGTAGCGTGCCGTTGAGCTGTTGCAGCTCATCCCTGATTCAAAGAAAAGCAGTCTTTTTACGTCAGCAACAAATCACGCTCCTTGCTTTACTGATAGACTGCACGGTTCCACTGGGAAAAACAACCTGAGGGTCGTCAATCTTGCGCAGGGCCAAAGCGCCGACATGTTGACAGAGCTGCCGGCATGGTTGGAGAGAGACAGAGGTTTTTTTTTTAGTGTCTTCAAATTCAAATCCAAAATGAATCCAAACGTTAAACAGTCAAGACAGAAGGACAAACTTCTAAACAGAGTTGGAAAACAAACAATAAAGTAGGGAAAGAAAAAGCAACACAACTGTAGCGGGGCAGATGGGTACAAAAAAAAATACAATTAAAAATGATGTGGATATTTTTAGTGGCACTTGTTAAACACAGCGCTGTCAAATCTGACCTACTGTACAGCGAGGACAGGAGGGTGGGACAACACCACCAACCGCAAACCAACTCCCACCAAGGCTCGCTGGGAAACCAAGTCTGATTTGTTTGTCTGCTCTGCCAGCAGCCGTCAGCGTGTCTGAAAGTAGTCCATGTGACCAAAACTACGCCTGATTAAAACCTTTCTTCACTTCTTTTTAAATGCAGCTGAATCAAGTCCGTCATTTTCCTTCTGTTGATGAGTAATCCCTGGTTTGGTGGCTCAACCTACTGTGGGGGCGGCGGGGGGGTTTCATGCTTACAAGTTTGAGGACATCAAAGTACAAACGTGAATGAACGCTGCCATCTACTCCGCATCGATGTCCACTGTGCAACATGAGTGTGTTTGCATGCTTGCGTTGTGTATGGATGAGTCTTCTGTGTGGTTACTGGGTCAATTATGGTTTTATTCTGTGATTTTATTCAAAAATAGGGTGAAGGGGTGGGGGGTGCTGATGGGAGCATGTACACAAGCCACAAAAACACATCTCCATCTTCCACGTGTCCGTCCATCCACGTTTATGTGACCCAGGCATCTAATCTCATTCTTTTGACGTTTGTCCCATCCTGATCTTGAGGCTCAGCTGAAGAGGGCCGCAGGAGGACCATGGTGGGCTGCTGTGCTCCGGCGCCCCCTTGGTTGTGGAAGTTTGTACCCCCACCCTGACCCTGGATGTCATCACGGTCACTGCCCTCGAACGAGCTGCCGTTGCTGCTGAGGCTGTCGACGGGCGAGCGGCCTTGGCCTCCTGCTTCCACCCGCAGGGCACCAGGGTAGGCAACCGAAACCAAACCTTGTCCCTGGATCTGAACCCCCGTGCCCACTCCTAGGCCACTGATGGAAATGGGAGTGCTGCGGTCACGGTTTGGTGATATGGGCTCGGACTTAATGTTGACGTTGGGGTTTGTGTTGACCGTCAGTGTGGCGTTCTGAGGAACTGGGCCCACTGACCTGGAGAAATAAAAGAGAAGAAGGAAAGTGTTAGGGCAGCAAAACTATGTGCAGAGTCACAGTTTGCAAAAACAGAGGATAACTCCTAATTTACACTACATGCGGTTCTGCTCCGCTGTGGTTTACCGCCATTCATTTGCACCCCAATTTATACAGCGTCCACCCTGCTCTTGTCCACTCCAGTGCGAAACACAGAGGAGGTCTGAGAAGTGTGTGCAGGAAATGCGACGTGTGATAAATCCAGTGATAAATATGGAAGTCGGAGCAAAACAATTCATTCTGAGAAAGACGGACTCCAGGCACAGTAGAAACTGCACTGATGTCTTTTTGAAACTTCTGGTTTCAAAATAAAACTTGTATTTTTTGTGTATATGCATATTCTGCATGCTACATGTTGCCATCTGGTTTCCAAACAGAACAATACATTTTGACAGCTTTGTGTATATCCGTCCATCCATCTTCTTCTGCTTATCTGGGATTGGGTTGCAGGGCTTCCTTCTCACCAGCCACTTGGGCCAGCTCCTCTGGGGGAATCCCAAGGTGTTCCCAGGCCAGCTGAGAAACATAGTCTCTCCAGTGCGTCCTGGGTCTTCCTCTGGGCCTCCTCCCAGTGGGACGTGCCCGGAACACCTCACCAGGGAACCGTCCAGGAGGCATCCTAACCAGATGCCCGAGCCACCTCAACTGGCTCCTCTCGATGTGGAGGAGCAGCGGCTCTACTCTGAGTCCCTCCTGGATGACTGAGCTTCTCACCCTCTCTCTAAGGGAGAGCCCAGACACCCAGAGGAGGAAACTCATTTCGGCCACTTGTATCCACGATCTAGTTCTTTCAGTCACTACCCAAAGCTCAGGACCATAGATGAGGGTAGGAACAAAGACTGACTGGTAAATCAAGAGCTTCACCTTTTGGCTCAGCTATTGCTTTACCATGACAGATCAGTACAGCACCCGCATCACTACAGACGCAGCACCAATCTGCCATTTGTGTATAAATATGCCAATATATTTATTAATATAGCTAAGATTTAAACAAAATTAGTCTGACTCAAAATTATTTTGAAAATAAAAATGTGCTTGTTCCATTTCCTGTTGGTGCGACCTGATCTTTGTAGACTGACTCCGGCAAATCTAATTTTGGCAGATCATCGTCCGCTCACCGCCGTCCTGCGAAGTGAGTGTAAATAGTCTCATTGATTATAATGGATGCATATTTGCTGCGGTGGGTTGGACCGGAGCGGAACCACATCTAGTGTAAATTAGGGGTTAGACAAAAAAAATTCCAGGGATGAAAAACAGTCGGCGCCAAACATTAAGAATGGTCAACTGATGATATTCTGATAAACATACAGTGGATGTGTAAAAGAGAAGCTAAGCATTCTGATACAAAAAACAACAACAACAAAGCTCAGCACATGTAGAGCAAAGACATACAGAACACATAAAACCAAAGCAGAACTGTTAGCCATGCAGCTTGAACGTTTTTGCACACTGGACTTGCTCGTCAAAGTTTACAGCTGAATATGATCATCGGTGTTGAGTGAGTTTCTGTTCAATCATCTCGGCAAGAAAAGTTGCTGACTGTCATATTTTCTGTCATACGTCTGCTCCCTTTACTTGGGTTACAGTGAATCAAAATGTCCTTCTTTTCTACCAAAATGTTAAGAGATAACACATTTTAAAAGACAGATTCCTTTCATGAAGCACTTATTTGAAGCTGCTTTTACACATCCTTGCAATAATATGCTGTTTTGGAAGATTTAACCACACAATTCTTTCTACTGAGAGGGAAAAGTCCTGACCAGAAAAAGTTATTGCTGTTCAAATATTTACGTATAGGTTTGTAAGAGAGTGCAATATTAGATGATCTAAATCAGAGATTCTTAACCCATTGGCCGTGGCCCAATTGTGGGCCATGAGAGCCATCTTGAGGGCCTCAAAAGAACAGTTTTTTACTTTGGGCCACAGAGGCCGTGGAACCACATTGATGTTTAACAACTTTTTTAATATGTAGAAGAAGAACCTTAGAAACCTACCGAGAATGGGAACCCTATTTTAAATGAAAATTAGAAGCAAAAATGAAAGTAAGTCTTCAAAAAACACCAAAGTTTGTCACTAAAATGAAGTACAGCTTCTGATTTTACCATGTAATA